TCCTCATCCGGTGTAAAGCTTCTTACAGTCCGGACCCCTTTGACCGACGTCCCCGCCACCGTCATTGCCAAGACCGCCAACACCACCAAGACTCCTAAACCCTAAACCCTAAACCCTAAAACACCACCCTCAGACATCTTGATGAACGCCCCCGGAACAGCATCTTAGATGGTTTCCTTCTTTGCACACGAGGTGTTTTTTCTCTCGGATGCTGTGGCGAAGCCGCCGAAGCAAGGCAATGCCAGGGCAAATCTCCCACAGGATCCGTGCCTGAAGGGTTCCTGTAAGGCGTTCCGGGGTTCTTTTATGGGGTTCCTTCAAGGGTTCTAGAATGATCGCTTCTTTTTTGTTTCTGTTTTAGGGAGCCTACTGTCTGCGGGTATGCAGGTACTTAGAACCCTCTAGGTCATCTACAGTCACAGTTTCGGCAAGGGCTGGAGGAGCCTCAACCGCTTCAAGATGCCACTTGACCAAGCCGAAGGGTCGACTCTAGCGCTCAACCGTACCCCAAACCCTGAAGCCCTAAATCCCTAAACCCTCAAACCCTCAAACCCTAAAACCCTAAAGCCCTAACCCCTAAGTCCCTAAACCTTAACCCCCCTGCTCCTCACGTGTTGCATCATGCAGGCCCGCAATGTTACGCGCAGAGCTCTGATCTGCACTGTGGCGACTTCGGTCTTGGTGAGCGCTTCGATCGGCAAGCACCTCGAGCGTGCCAAAGGGTCTAAAGTACCTGTTTAGGGTAGAATGTAGGTTCTTTAGGGGTTCCATTAAGGGTTTAGGGTTCCTCGAAGGGTTCCTATAGTAAGTACCTATTTCGGAGAATGTGGGTTTTTACATATTCGGATATTTGGAATTACTTTTATGATGTGGGGAAGTATTCCCCATAAGCAGTACCTGGAGTTTTTGGGGAATGCACTTTCGACGACCGCAGATCTTTGTCCAGCTTTTGTACTTACGGTTCGATTGCGACTAGTTCGATATCTCAATTTTGCAAACTTCCCTAGGGGTCGAAAGGACCCAAAACTTGGTACTTGGGCTTACATTAGTTAGGCAGGTCACTATTCCGGGGTGTCTTGATTCTTGGGTACTTGAACCGTAAGGGTTTCCTAAATGCCGTAAAGCCTAAACCCTAAACCCTAAAGCCTAAAGCCCCGAATCCCTAAACTTGAAACCCCAGAGGGCGGTCCATTTACCCAAATAGGGTCCTTTGAGGGTTGGTTTGAGGGTCCCCTTAAGGGTTTCCTTTAACGGTTTAGGGTGTAAGGGTCCATGTACCCCGATAGCATATGCTTTCGCCTTAAAGCAGGCTCTACTTAGGTACTGCAGTAGGGCAAGGGTAAATACTATCTGAGCACAGGGACCTCAGGGCAACCAAAGCAGGACATGCCCGTTACATGCGTTCCCTATAGTGCCTCTTAACAAACCGTCTATGCCCATCACTCTTCTGAGTGTATACCGTCTAGGTTGTTTACATCTTTGCGGGTTCTGTTCTTGGCAATTAAAGGAATCGCAAAGGATCTGTATAGGGAGTTTCTCGGGGGATCAGGTAGATGCCCCAGATAGCTGGGAGTCCCTTTCCCAGGGGCAAGATACCTCCAATACGGATCTTGCTATGTAGGCTTCCGTATTCAACTTGTATGTTGGAGGCATGCTGGTACCGTAGTTTGGGGATTAGGAGCATCGCCGTGCACCTCCACCTTCAATCCCACACCCTATACACCCTAAACTCCTAAACCCCTGTTTAAACCGCTATATAGCATAAACCCTGCGAAAGTGAACACGGCCCTTATGGAAGACACATTCTAAAGGAGCCCGTCAAGGTACCCTATATACGTCCGCGATCTTCGAAGTATACCTTAAACAGGGTTGCTTATTACGGGCTTAGGGGTTTAGGGGTTTAGGGTTCAGGGGCTTAAGGGTTTAGGGTTTAAGGTTTAGGGTCCCAGCCACCTTGTGGTGGCGTATATACGTCCTTAAAAAGGTAGGTTCTTCAGGGTCCAGGTAGACCTCAAACCTTTAAGCCACCCGAATACCCCTGGTTCCTCAAAAGCATTGTTTACAACATATGCCACCATTTTGTCAAGCTTTTATCGCTTTAACTTCTAAACGCAAAAGAAACCCTTGGACGACCATAGAGCACCCCACAGAAAAAAACAGAAAAAACCTGCGACACCTTCGAAACCATAGGAAGCACCGCAAAAGAACAACTTATAGAGCTCTGGAAACCATAGAAAGCTCCATAGGGAATAAAATGATGTGAAACTTTGGGGCACCACAGACAGCCTCATACACCCCGTATCACCACGGAAAGCGTAAACGCAAAGTTACCAACAAAGTGTCTCAGGTGTCCATCGCCGACTGGCTATGAGGCATCGACATGGGGTCTGTGGGCCCAAAGGATCCTATATATGGTACGTAGAATGTAGGGTTTGTATGAGATTGCAATTATGGTTTGGGGAAAGGTTCCCCGCAATACATAGGACCCTTTGGGGGCTGAGGGGTTGGAGCTTGGATGTGTAGGCAGCTTCGAATCCCCAGTGGAGCTCTGCACATTGACTTCCACGGGGCTCCTATATTGGGGCTTTTGGGACACGGTATAGTGTAAACCATATAGTCACATAGAGCCTGTGGGAAGAGCAGCTTTGCATCTTAAAGTTGATCGTTACTCCGCAGAGTAGATGCGATCCTCGTCTAAGCCAATTTCCTCGAAATCTGAGCTCATGCAGACTATGTCAAAGTTCACCGTGGTTTGCGAGACTGTGTTATGTCAATATCGTCTATAGACAGTATCGTACGGTACTGTATGATAGACGCAGTACCGTTGTTCCTTCTCCGCGAAGCTCGGGCTCCAACAGGCTTCAAGTGCTTTGCTGAATCCCAACTTTTTGGAAAGAGATGGCATCTTGGATGCTGCTGCTGCTGCTGCTGTAGACCCATAACAGCGCCGTCAGGTGACAGCACCGGGTCAACTCGCGCGTCGATCTTGCATGCAGGGCTTTTAACAGTTAGGCTATACATGTCTTAGCAAAGCTACCGGCTGTACGCGTAGTGATGACGTGTCTGATCACAAGTGTAAGTGTTCACACCTTGGAGAACTGCACAGTAAGGGGTCGGAGCCCGGTTCTGGAAGAAAAGAGGAAAGCGGAGGAGATGGGGCGGGTCGAGGGGGGCAAAGCGAAGGGCGGGACGTGAGACGATGGAGGAAGCCCAATGAAAGGGGCATCTAGACTGAATGATCGAGAGACAGCGGTGACGACGACCGACCCTGACAACGTCAGAAGACGCGGGCCAAGCATGCGCCAGAAGGCGTCAGTATTGTTGTGTTGTCACGGTGTGATGGGTGAAGGTGTACCGTAACATGACGTAGCAAGGAACATCGTAAAGGACAGTTGCGACCGGCGAGAACACGGGGAACGAGACCACAGAAAACATGTCTGACACGTACGATGGCCCTTTGAGCGCCAGAGGACGCGGGCTCGAGTGGCGCCAGAGGACCCTTGTGCTTGCGCCAGAGGACGCTTGCACTCTGTGTGTGTGTGTGTTTCAGCGAGAAACACGTAAGAAAACAGGCAAAACGGAGCCAGCCATCGTGTGGTGTGTGGCACGTGTGTCGCTAGATTGGTGCCTTCGCGTGTGTGATCTGAGAAACCTTCGTGGAAAGCCGGTGTGTACGGGTGAAAAGCTAGTAGCCTCCTGTCCGTTTGAGCCCTGTGAGCAGATGCGTAAGCAACTTGTGCGAGTTCTGTCAGGCGTGAAAAAAGCCGAGCCGGGTTAAACCCACCAGATTAATTGGAATGTCGGCGCCCACCCGCCATCCCCGGACAAGATGACACAAGACAGGAAGACCAAATGCCCCCGAGGGGACATAGGTCCAACGCCTGACTTGCGATATGTCATCATGCCCGTTTGCATCTCGTCCTCCCCGAAGGGAGCGCCCCGTGTGGGGAATGACGTTAGCCCCGCGCGAGTGCGTGTTATGAATGTGTATCGAGAAGAAAGCGTAAATTCACGCACTTTTGGTCAGGGACCTTGACCACGATCCAAAACGAGTCGAGAAAACGGAGAGGCTAACGAAGCGTCGAACGAAAGAGACGAAATGAGACGAGACCGCCAGCGTAAGAGCCTATGGGACCGTGGCACTGTCGAGAGGGACAGGTCACGATGGGTAATGAGCGCGGGTTTCCAGGGGGCACCACGTGGAGGTTTGATGCATGCCGAAGGTTCCTAGCCTGATCGGAACCTCCCCCGTTGCGTCCCGTGTGTGGGTCGGTTCTGCATGCTCACACTCTGCTGTACCAAAAGAGCAGGCACCGTCCTATGCATACACTCTCTTTTGCGCTGCAACGGGCAACAGAGCGGCTAGCCGAAGGTGTTGTTCGTTTAAAGTCGAACACGCCATAGTCGGGGCGGTTCGCTCCCTTCGGGCATTGGAAAAGCCTCTGCCGCCACCAAGGCCCGAAGACCAGGGAGGGCGGGAGGGCCAAACTTCAACTGAGCCGAAAAGTCTTGAGACACATCGGCTCATTCGCTAGCAGAACTCTATGTTATCACTAACGAGCAAGTTCTGCATGCTCACACTCTGCTGTACCAAAAGAGCAGGCACCGTCCTATGCATACACTCTCTTTTGCGCTGCAACGGGCAACAGAGCGGTTAGCCGAAGGTGTTGTTCGTTTAAAGTCGAACACGCCATAGTCGGGGCGGTTCGCTCCCTTCGGGCATTGGAAAAGCCTCTGCCGCCTTATCTAAATACTTTGCAGCGAGTGTATGCAGGAGTTCGGTTCCTTAAGAGACAGGGCAAGGGGGGGCAGCACGAAAACCCGACTGTTTCCGGACCCATCCGTCGTCTTCCGCTGTCTGAGGCTTTGCCTCACTCACAAACAACTTGCAAGAAACAGGGCGGATCGCCACACCGCCTACTGTACATCGGAGCCTTTGGCTCCCATTCTGGCGGAACGCCTGTGCACAGGGCTTATAACCCGAAAAGCTCTGCAGAGCTTTAAAGATGAAAACCGTCCACCGCGGAACTTTGTGCTGAATCATCAGCCGGTAAATCGTTCCCAGCTGGGGCGGTGTCACCTGCAGCATCACCTCCCTCAGGCGTTGTAGAAGGAGCTGAGGGTTGGGCTCCCGGCTGATCGTCACCTTGGTCCGGAGGCACTGGCCGCCCAGCTTCTCGATCTTCCGGCTGATCGGAACGAGGTGGGGGAGGTTCTGGCCGCCCGTCCGCGGTTGTACCCGATGGTGCAGAAGAGGTTCCCGACGGGGTGCTCGCTGTAGTGCCAGTATGAGGTGGTACACCTGGGGGGGGTGGAGCACCTGCGGATTTGGAAGCGGTTGTGGGCTCCGCTCTCTCTGCATCCGCATTGACTCTCGCCTCCAAGTAATCGAGGAATTGCTCCATTGTTTAGCAATCCCCCACCTCCTCCTGGGTCCAGGTGACTCCCCGCCTTTCAAGTCTCTCCAATCTGTTGAGGAGATAAAGGCGATGGGAGCGGCCCAAGCTCATCATGGGCGGTAGCGCCCTCACCCTCTGCAGGGGGGTGGCACGGGGCTGTAACGCCGTAACGCCACATTGCCCTGGGCCACCTGGTGTTGTACGGCACGAAGTCGGGAGCGATGGCGTTGAAACGCCACTGCCGTGGATACACCTGCCTCCAAATCGGCCAGGTACTTGGGGTCGTTGCGAGCAGTGTCGTTGGATGCCCTCACCTTGACATTGCTGGACCCCCCTTTACCCTTCTGGCCTCGTAGCTGGGCGGTGCGCCTGATGGTATCGGCCAAAAGCCCTCCCATCACGGCACTCGAGCTGTTCGCGAGGTTTTCCAGGAGTGCCCGCTGCTGGCCGGCGTTGAGGCCTCTCATCCTTTGCTCCAGGTCCGCGCATTCTCGTTCGAGCCGGGCAACTTCCTCGAGCTCCTCTTTGTTGAGGACGACATCATCCTCCGGTTCCTCGTCATCAGATACCACGCATTGCTCCCTGTCACGGTTGCACATGGTGCAAATCGTGCGGGTGATTGGCACCCTATAGGAGCACCTTTTGCAGTACCAGTGCGTGGCTCTCTTGCCAGCGTTCCCGGAGCCTTTGCCACTCGGCGTCGAACTCGGGGCGGAGGCACCCTTACTGCCATCTGCAGGCGGTACGCCCTCATCTGGCGGAACTGCCGGCCCATTGCCCAAGATCTGCGTAGCCCACCGGCCCATAACATTCTGGGCTTGGTCCGCTTCCGCATAGGTCTCTGCAAGCGGGAGCAGGCGGAGCGGGGCCGGGTAAATGCAGGGTAGGGCGGCACGGCCTGGGCGAGGTGGCCCCTCATTCCCCCTGTAATGTTGACCAAGGCTGGGGTTCCTCAGGAAGTCCTGAAAGGTGAACAGGGGGCGATGGTCTCCGGTCGCAGGGCTGAGGGGCGGTAGATCGCCTTGAGGTTCCGGATGTGCCTTGTGTAGGTCCATAAAGCATGGATTGTCCCGATTTGCAAGATGGATCCGGGACATGTGGCCTCGGCGGTGCGCCCAGTGCAGGATATCTTGTGCCACTCGACGGATGAAGATCACTCCCACGCGCCCCCATGACTGCAACCCGCATAGGGCCCTGCGGCACATGACCAAGATGTCAAGCTCGCGCACAGTGAGAACCACAGGGCCTCTCCGTTCGGTGCCACAATCGCCATAGGACGGCTTTCCTCTGTGGGGCCCCTGGCCTTCTTCGGAGCTGGCCCTTGGGGCGGGTCGACCACAGGCTGAAGGCCACCAGACGCCGGTGGCGGTGCGGCATAGCTTTTCGGGGTGGCTGGAGTAGGGGGCAGAGGTCCCTCGGGCAGTGCGCCCATACCCTTACCTTTTCCAAGGCCTTTCTTGGCGAAGTAGACGGACTTCGGCTCCGGCACTGGCTGGGGGCGGTGCGGCTGTAGCGGCAGAGGGCGGTGACGCCTTCCTCTTCCATCTGCTCGTCCTCATCCAAGCCAGACAAAGGGCCTCCCAAACAGGCCCCAGTCGGAAATGACTACTATGGCTTTGGCGGATGCCTTTCCGCTGTGCCCGGCGATTGAGCACAACAGGGGCTGTGGACGCCCTCGGGTGCACCAGCAGGTCGTCGGGGGCAGGGCCGTTATTGATGAGAGACCCATGTCTTGGCCGCCAGCATCCACATCCAGAACACTGGTTCGCTTTGATGGTCGTCTCATCCTGGCAGTCGGGGCATATCCAGTGTGTCGCCCTCTCCTGCAGCGTGTCGAGAGCGACGGCACCCATTGCAGCCATACCGATGAAGCCCATTAGGTTCTCCACAGCCTCCACAGATCCACCGCATCGTGTTGTCAAACGTGGAGGGCGGCGGCGCCTTGGTGGGGAGGGCGGAGCCTCGGCCCCAGGGGCTTGCGACGGCTTTGGGGGTGGAGCAGCCTTCTTAGGTGGAGGCGCCGTGCTGGGACGTGCCTTCGGTGGGGCCTTGTAGGGCTTCCGATGCTGGAAAAATGCAGCCACAACCAAAGACCGACTTGAGCTCGGCGGGGGGGGGAGGCGGCGCTTCCTTGGCCCGTGCCCAGGGGTTAGGCCGGAGCGGAGCGCCAGCTGACGAAAAAGGATGAGGAGGTTCTCCGTCACCTTTTGGCCCCCTTTCGTCCAGGTACATCGTCAGGGCGGTAACTGCCATACGGGCCTTTGGAAGCCCCCTTTTGCTGTCGGCGGTACCGGTAGGGAGGCCCCTTTTGCAGCACCTCAGCACACGTCCACAGCGGATGCGAGGGTACCTATCGATCTCCGGGCCAGAGGACTCAGTGTCAGGACCGCCACTGGAAAACTCCTCGCTGCTGGTGTCGTAGAAGGGGGTACCCCAGCGACCTTTGTCCTTGCCCTTGGCAGAGCCCATGCGAGGCTTTTGGCGGAGGCCTGATTCCACCATCGCGGTGCCGCTTGACCCTCCATCTCATGCCGCGTTCGACGGGGGCGGAACCGTCCCCCGTCCCCCCAGTACCAACTCCCAGGACCAGGATATTGTCATGGAGAATCCTGAGGCTCGGGTTGAGGAGGATCTCCTTGGCATTGCCCAGCGCCTGCATGCGGACTGTAGCCATTTCCACCTCATCTGAAAGACTTTTGTCCGGGTGGAGGCGGATCGCCGTGCGTTTGGAGGCGCGGAGGACCTCACTCATAGCACTGCCCGGGGCGAGGCCGAGGAAATCCCATGCACTGCCCCATTCCTGGATCCACTCTCGAAGTTGGCGATTGCCCATACCGGTTGGCGGAGCAGCTTCGGCCATGCTGAGAGCAGAAGGAGAGGCGGTGCGCCGGGGAGAGCGGAACGCTTGCTGGAGCAAAGAAAGCAGCTCGGGAGACACACGTGAACCAGGTCTCTGCGGGGCAATAGGCTGTTGGCTCTCATGCAACGCGACCGACGACGAACTCTCAGAGGTTCTACTGGGCCCAGCTTGAGGAGGGAGGAGCCATTCGGGGGTACCTCCATACCTAAAAAGGAAGGGTGGGGGATCAACAATTCCGCCTGCTTCCAATTGCCTACGGAGCCTGACTCTTTGAATGAAGGTGAGTCCGGTGGTTCTTTCGAGGTGCTCAAGATGCGCTTGGCTAGTGGCCCAATTTTCATCGAATCCCTCATCGGAGCCCTCCGCGCTACCACTTTCACTGGAAGGGCCCCCAGCTCTCGTTCATACAAGAGTGCCCGCTAGGGTGCATATACTGCTGCGGTTGGAGCACCGGGCGGGACGCCAGCATGTCTTTGGACCGACTGGGAGCAGCAGCAAGGTCAGTGTACAGATAGGCATGTACAGCATCAGACTTCCAGCCTCCAAACCTCTTAACCACTTCCACGTCGCTAGTTACGGCAAGCATGGCGGTGGCGCCTCCTTTTCGCAGGCTGTGAGGCGACGAGATGCGCTGGATAGCCTAGCGCCACAGCAGCCAGCCTTAGTAGGTCAGATAGACCCTCTCGTGAGATGCCTATGCCTTGCCAAGCGCAAACAGGGAGACTAACGTCGCTTACCCAAAAAGGGTTATGCTTAGCGTGTTCCTGCAAGGCCCGGACAGGACAGATGTCCTCGCCAGTGGCGTGCTGGAGCCTAACCTGTCCCCTTCCGAACTGGTCCCCTTTAGAATCCCTTAGCTGCACGGCAACAGAGTCAGCTTCAAACACGGAACAGCGTTGCCCCTTGCAGAAGAAGTCAATGTCGCTGCCTCGGAGGACCCGAGTGGGAACATTGCAAAGATCCGAGCCGGGGAGGTACTCCGAAGCTCGCAGCATGAAGAACCAACCTAGGCAGATCGAGGTAAAGAGCTTTCCGTTCCGCGAGAGGGCGGTCCGACCCGTCAAGATACCGCTTCAACCAAGTGAACATGCCAGGGGTAACGGGGACCTTACGGACTGGGGCCCCGTCCCAGTGGTTCATCCCAGCGAGCGCTGCCCAAAGCCTGACTCGGCCTGTTAAGGGGTCCTGGTAGCCGGCTGCTATGTGCGCGTACCGGATCCCTGACAGCCGCTGCTTGATGCCTTGGGCGGTGCGGCCCATCACCTGATGCAGGAAAACAGTAAAGCGGATCAACCAATCCTCGTCTCGTTGCTTCTCCATCCGAGACTCCCCTTGCAAGAAGGGTGACACCCCCGTGCCAGACATGAAAGCTGCCCATTGCTTCCACCCCGTGTTATAGGAGCGCCTGGTAGAGTCAGCGAGTTTGCTGAGAAACAGCCTCCTGCCCCACCTGGTCAAGAAAAGAGACCCCGCTGCCTTGGGGTAAGCCTGAAGAACTTTTCCCTCTCGTCGCCCAGTAGGACTGGGGTTTAATGAGCGATGGGCTGGATCAGCCTTCCTCTTAACAGGGCCCCCTACTCGGGTGTCCTCAGAACAATCCCAAGCAGTAGGTTCCACTCCGGGCCCTCACGACCCAAACGGCACAAGGTCCAAGAGGTCACGAGGGCGATCTGGGCACCGACTCCAGGCGGTATTAGCCTCCTCCTCATCAGGGTCCAAACAATTCCCGACTTTGTCAGCGGGGGTTTGCCACAAGCCCAGCATGCGGCAGCGACTTGCCAGCCCGGTTCCCGGACGATGCGGCGAAGAGCCTTCTCCGGTCCCTCAGCCTTAACAAGGGCCGTCCACTCCTGGGAGGTGACTCCTTGTGCTTTGGCTATCTCGCCGGGACTTAAGGGCCGGACTCCCCCGGATATGCTGGGGATCAAAGTGGGGTCCTGCGTGAGGGCCCAAAAAGGCACAAGCGGGCCCTGACGTGTGGTGAACCAAGCACTTAGCCGGGAAGCCGGGCCCCTTAACATGTCCGTAGGGGTGCGGGAGCCAGGGATCCCCGGATGTGACGATGCCAGGCTCCTGAGTCACCACACCCCCTAAGTGCAAGGAAGCGGTCTTGGCCTCAGGGTCCACGGGATCAGCTGCATGGCAGGGGGTGGGTGAACCCGATGCTGTTCTATCCCTGCCGGAGACACCTGATCAGCCCAACCTCGCAGAAGTGTCCTTCGTCGGGCACTAAAGGCGCCCAAATGGGAGCTGACGTACGACACCGTCCTAAGATTAGGGAGGATCTCCTGTATGCCAGCAATCAGAGACGACACATCAAACTGCCTTGGGCAGTCGACCGCCAGCTTGCCGAGGCGACTCTTGCTCTCCTTAAGGCGGGCCCAAAAGCGTGCCTTCTGCGGGTCCTGAGAGAAGGTAAACCAGGCATTGCCGTGGCTTCCCGTCTCCCAGGCGCGAAATAACCGGAGGGGGATGGCACAGCTGGTGAGCTCCGGGAAGTCGGGACAGTGAGTGAGCTGACGAGCCTTTTGCGCGCTTGGGTCCAATCCCAGTGGCAAGACCAGAGCGGAGCGCTTGGCATCTTGGAGGAACTCCTCCCACTTGATCTTTCCTGGGGTCTCATCCCAGCCGTCAGCCACAAGCTGCTTTCGAACCACTCCCAGATCTTCCCGACTCAACCAGTCAGCAAGCTGATTCCGATACTTCCGGATATATATATAGGATGGACAGTGAAATTGTGCTCACACTCTAAGCGCTGGACTAGCCTGATAAGCAGACTTGCCACCCTATTACCTGGGCGGCGCTTGTAGAGCCAACTACGCACATTCGTATAAAGGACAATTTCACCATCCCAATGCTGTTTTCGGTGGCATGCTAGGACCACGAAGGCGAGTAGCTCCATGATGGAGATGATGTCAGCCTCGTCCTCCGAGGAGGCCACAGCGCGCAAAGCATCCTGGAATTTATCCACCGAGGACGCGTGGAAGACCTTGGCCTTCCAATCAACCGCGCCAAACCTGCCCAGAGTAGCGTCCCCCCCTGTGATCCGCGTTCGGGCGGTAGCACCTGGAAGAGCGAGTCTCTCGCGGATGGGCAAAAGCTTCTCAAACACAGAGGCGAAACTGGACTGCAACGGAGCTTCAAGCTGAAGTCTAATGAAGTCAAGGGCGTCCCAAAAGTTTTCCCACCTGAGGGCTTCCTCTTCAGGATCGTCAGCTTCCACCTTAAGCAACGTTTGTGACTTCCCTTTAACTTCCTTCCGACCCTGCCCTTGGAGGTTACCTTTCAGGAGGCAGTACAAAGACGGGAGATGTGGGGTGAGCGCAGGGCACGCTACCGTCCAGTACTGGGCGCATCCAATAACCTCCTGCAGCAGGCCAAGCGGGACATCCTTACAACCCCTCTGCAACGCTGGCTCACCGAGCAAGCACTTGGCTTTCATTCTTTTGGGCTCCGGGAGTCTTACCTGATGCTGCTCGAAATCCATGTGGAGCCCCCACAACAGCTGAGTCGCTGAGGGTTCCCCCTCCTCTGCCATCTTCTCCACATTCACCCCTTCGGGGCCCCAAACAAGTTTCATGGTTTCGTCAAGAACCTCCAAAGAGTCGAAGACCCGGGTTCCAACAACGGCTCGACCACCACCCCGTCATCCATCAACCACTTGGACTCGTACGGAACCACGTCGTTGAAGCGGGGATCTTCAGGGCGGAACGACCCGTGATGCGCCTTTGCGGCGGCACTCCAGGCGACAAACTCCCCGGGGGAGCCTACCCATCCAAAGGGCATGGCCAGGCTGTGTATGATTATAATCCAGCCAACCGAACGGCAAACTCAGGAACGTCCTGTGGGCGAAGGAAATGCCACTTAAACGCACGTGGCACGTGTCGTTTGGCACACCTCTGCGGGATACCGGGGTGTCTTGCCCTCCACCACAACGATTGCCTCGCCACCGCGTGGTGTCTGGGTTGAGGGGCCGGGGGGTGGTTGAACTTGGAGCCGGCCTCGTTCTGCTTCCTCATGTCGTTGATGGGCCTGCCCTCCGCGGAAATAGTCCGGTCAGGGTTCTGTTTGGGCACACGGCCCAGAGGGCTCTCCGGCACTCGACTCTCCCCTCAGGAGGGCGGCGCCGTAGGCTGCGTCCTTCCATGCTTTTTGGAGGAGCTCCTCTTCGTAGCCGTACACCGACCCATGGTTCTTGGCTTCTTCCCGACGGAGGGGCCTCCCTACGGCTCGGCACTCCCTCCTCCGCGCTTTGCCGGAGGTACTCCTGGTGAAGGGCGGACACGCCTTTGAACAAGCCGTGTCTTGCACCTGCAAGGTGGTCACCTAGTGTAGCAGCCCGGACCGAATTTAAAGCCTCAACGGCCTCCTTTACAGTGCCAGCTGCTAACACCAGCTCCGCTCCCAACCTACCGGCCTCCATGGCTTTATCGACCGAGAAAGAAGACTGGCAATGTTCCAGGTATTCCGCTGCCTTGTCATAAGATGTCCCTCCCGCCCTCTCAACAACTCCTTCGCTTCCTTCGTCAGCGAGTTTTGGGACCGTCCCGCCCCCCCCGGGAGGGTGGGAGGGAGTCGGCCCTCACAGAAAGGGGGTCGACAGAATCATTGGCCAAGCAGTGCAACCAGCGGGTTGCCAACTCCAGCGCGGAAACGGCAGGTGGCGCCCCTGTGGTGGCCAATTGGTGGAAATCCTAACCACTGGGAATACCCCACCAGACCGACGAAGAGGCCAGGCGCTGGACAAAAAGTCTCACGTCGCACCCCACCAAACTGCGCAAAGACACAAGTTGCTGGGGCGGAAACACCACACCACAACAATGCGGAGAATGCGTAAGCAAAGTCCCCACTTGCGACAGGAGAGTCAGCCAGTCTGAAGGCTGCGCCTCGATGAGCCAAAGCAAGTATCCCTGCGACAGCACCGTCGAATGGGATGCCAGCCACGTTTGCAGCGTGGGAGCACCAACATTGGGAGACGGCATTACCAACCGGGGCTGTAC